GCAGCGAGGAGAAGGCTGGAGGCAGTGGAGATGTCATGTCTGAGGGCAATGTGTGGTGTGAATATAATGCAGAGAATTCGTAGTTTGGAAGTTAGAAGGAGGTGCGGGATTGCCAAAATTGTTGTCCAGAGGGCTGAGGAAGGGTTGTTGAGGTGGTTCGGACATGTAGAGAGAATGGAGCGAAACAGAATGACTTCAAGAGTGTATCAGTCTGTAGTGGAAGGAAGGCGGTGTAGGGGTCGGCCTAGGAAAGGTTGGAGGGAGGGGGTAAAGGAGGTTTTGTGTGCGAGGGCTTGGACTTCCAGCAGGCATGCGTGAGCCGTGTTTGATAGGAGTGAATGGAGACAAATGGTTTTTAATACTTGACGTGCTGTTGGAGTGTGAGCAAAGTAACATTTATGAAGGGGTTCAGGGAAACCGGCAGGCCGGACTTGAGTCCTGGAGATGGGAAGTACAGTGCCTGCACTCTGAAGGAGGGGTGTAAATGTTGCAGTTTAAAAACTGTAGTGTAAAGCACCCTTCTGGCAAGACAGTGATGGAGTGAATGATGGTGAAAGTTTTTCTTTTTCGGGCCACCCTGCCTTGGTGGGAATCGGCCAGTGTGCTAATAAAAAAAATTATTATTATTATTATATTATTTTCTCAGTTGTTTGTTTGGTTATCTTATTGAAACTTTGGCAATGTATGATGAAAAGATACTTCTTAACGTACACCAAAAATGAAAGAAATCAGACCATAAATAGCGGAGTTCACTTCTCAGCCATTAGCGGCCACTTAGCTGGATATTTTTGTATGGTTTTTATGGTTATATTCTCATTTTTTTGGTCTCATTTGATAGAATGAAAGATATATTATAGAAATAGATATGATTTTGATTGCTTTCATGACGAAAAGTACCTTGAAATTTTGCTCACAGTAGCGAAAATGTTCTATTCTTTAGCGAAGCTCAAGAGTAAACAAATGACGTCACCGTCCAATACCTGTCCGCCTGCCAGTCCAAATTCCAATACGGAGTCAAGAATGGGTTGACATTAATTATACAATTATTACAATAATGCAGCAGTGTGCATAAAAGTAAATCTTCTATTGTTTTGTGAATAAAAATTCCAAATGGTAAGCAAGAGTAATATAAGAGGGGCCTGTAGCCATGACTAATTAACAGAGAACATGTTACTTTAGTGCCAGGAATGTTTACACTGTTTATTCTGGACCCTATTTTGAAATTGGCATCTGTTGAAAGTTGTGTGAAGTCGACCAAATTGCCAATTTCTGACCACTTTATTGGGTACTTGAAATAAGTGAATGGGCAGTTTCTTGTACTCAGTTGACAGACTAGAAGTAAATAAGTTTATTCAGGTATACACAAATACAGTTACATAGATTATCATACATAGCAGCGTATGTATATAGAACCTGGGATAACCCCAAAAAAAGTTAGACAAAGTGACTTATTTCCAGTACCTGGCTTGGGCTTGCTATATATGATTTTTGGTAAATATTTTTTTTTCTCGGTTGTTTGTTGGGCTATCTCATTGAAACTTGGACAATGTATGATGGAAAGATGCTTCTTAACGTACAACAAAAATAAAAAAGACGGACGATAAATAAGGGAGTTCACTTCTCAGCCATTAGCCGCCTCTTTGCAGTATATTTTCGTGTGGTTTTATGGTTGTATTCTCATTTTTTTGGACTCATTTGATAGAATGGAAGATATATTACAGAAATGGACATGATTTTGATTGCTTTCGTGACGAAAAGTACCTTGAAATTGAGCTCAAAGTAGCGGAAATGTTCGATTTTTGCCGATGTTCAATGAACTGTGCAAGTGAAGTTGATTAATTTTATTAAGTGTATTCTAACCTAACCACTCTGTAATCCGGCACACTACAGGTCCCAATGATGCCGGATTTGTGATGGAGGACCTGTAACAAACAAGTATTTGGCACAAAATTACATTAATTCTAATGTATCAGTTGCAATCAAGGACGTGAGAGAGCGTCAGCAATTACATTACAACAACCACTTATGTGATTTATACTAAGTATGGCTGGATTCTGAGAGCCCACCCCATGATCCTAGCATTTTTAAATTTGATCAAGTTAATATAGGTGAGTGGATTGTGGTCTGATAATACAGTAATTTTAAATGGGGAAGTGCCCAAATACACATCAAAATGCTCTAACGACACCACTAGAGGCTAATGCCTCTTTCTCATTCGTGGCATAGTTTTAGATGAGTAGTAAAATATAGGATGGAGTATGTCAGTGAATGGTCACTTTTGGAGCAGCACACTCCCACTGCATAACCACTCGCATCTATATGTAAAAAGAAAGGTAGGTTGAAGATAGGACTCCACAAGACAGGAGCAGAGCAAGCTCTTCAACCTAGCAAATGAATTAGAGCAATCTTGAGTCCAGTGGACCTGTACTTTGCTGCTAGTGAGCTCAGTGAGAGGAGCAGTGACTTAAGAAAAGTTAGGAGAGAACCTGTGATAATATCCTGCCATACCCAGGAATCTCTGCACTCCCTATCCTTTGGCACTGGAAATGCAGAAATAGCACAAACCTTAGCATCAGTAGGAGCAACCTCACTTTGGCTTATACAGAACCCTAGATAAGTAATCTTGGCTTGACCAAAATTACACTTAGCCAAGTTAACAGTAAAGTTGTAGTGTGCTGGTCTCGCAATGCTCTGAGAAGTGCCAAGTGTTGTTCCCATTTGTTACAAAAAGTGCAATATCTATAAATTATAGACATCTCCAGAGAATATTAGAAGGTCTGCACCTCTAGCATTCAGCCTGTTTCTGGGTTTTTGTAACAAGTAGTCAGTATTCTGGTTCAGTTATCCTTAAAAATTATGATAAATTTTAATAGTGCTTTAGAATTGCAACTGATAGGATACTAACTAACGAAATAAAAATTGAGATGTTTATTAACAAAGTTGTCTAGGTGGACAAAATCATAGTAAATGAATTTGATGGAAATTAGGATATAAGCTCCTACATTTCTCTTGTAAAACAGAGAAATTGTACAGTATTATAGTGCTGAAGGCACATTTCATATCTTTATGGCTCTTAAGTACTATTGGGTACATTGTCAGAAATTATAAAAATAATACTTGTACAGTGGAATCCCGGATTTTGTCTGCACCTGTTATCGTACGGTTCGGATTTCGATCACATTTTTTGGGGAAATTTTGCTCCGGATTTCGTACCTCGTCCCAGATATCTGCATCAGACGCGTCCGCCTGCCTGGGACACTGCACCACTCATGGGTAGTGTCTCAGTCTGGCTCTGTCACTGGTTGAGTGAGCATTCATCTGAAACATTTCGTAATAATCCTTCCTTTGTAAGCTATGCCTGTTGCAAGAGGCGACTAAAATGCTAGGAGCAGGGGACTAGTAACCCCTTCTCCTGTATAAATTACTAAATGTAAAAAAGAAAATTTTCTTTTTCGGTTACCCCGCATCGTTGGGAGACAGCCAATATATTAAAAACTGAAATATTGCCTAGGCAACCAGGCTCTTCCTGCACTTCTAGAAAAATCTCTAGGAAATGAGTGATGGTGAATGCACTTTCTAAATTAGGTCATCCCTCCTTGGTGTAGAAAAAAAAAGATAAATAAAAAATGGTATTTAATAAAACAAATATTTTAAAAGTTTCAAAGCCTCTAATTGCTGCTTATTTATATATACAATAGAAGCCCCTTATCTGCAGATTCAGTTTCCTCGGTTTCAGTTATCAGTTACTATGTTATTGTCATTACAGAAATCTTGATTTGGATCAGTTTGGTGTGGTGACATGTTTTGGGCAGGGTGGATACATCTGCACTGTCTGTTGACCAATTGGTAAAGATTCACATATGAAGTGTTTGAGCCTGTTACAAGTGAATTTTGTTCTTTTGGTCGCTACTCACTAACTACAAGGATTTTGATTCATGATTTGCCTCTTATACAATTCCTATGCTGTCCAGTTACACAGATCTTGGAGTGTGGAGCTTCAGTTATGTATTCCTGGATCATAGTCTGACGATGAAGCCCATAGAGCAGTTGTACTGCTCACATAGTCTCCCTGTTTGCCTGCCTGCCTTCCACCCTCCCTCACTTCCCCTAACCCCTTCCTGTCACTCCAAGGATGGGACAGGGTTAGGCATGTTGGGTAGGTCAGTCCTTGGCAGGCATAGCAAGGCAGGCAGGGAGGGAAGCAGTGTGTGCAAGACAATGCATGTGGGGAGTACAGAAGGCAGGCATGGTTGGGCAAGCCAAGCAAGGCAGGGCAATGCATGTAGGGAGTGCAGGGCAGGCCAGGCCAGGCAGAGATTGGAAAAGAATTGTAGACTTAATCTTCCTCCCTTCTACCCTCCCTCACCCCTACAACCGTTTAACATTTGAATCCCTTAAGTTTAAAGAACCTAAGTATCTTGCTGATATGCACTTTTGTTTTGGGGTCGGGAATGTTTCTACGAATTGCTGCAGACCCTTTCAGACCTGCTGAGCCTTGTGCTGTTGGAGAAGTCATTTCCAAAATGAGCATTTTCTTGTGTAGCTCAGAAATCGTTTGTGCTTCTAAAACCCGGCTAAAAGCTCATCTTTTTTCTAGAGCCCATGATTCTGATGATCACACTGTCATTCTTGATATACATTTTAGTATTTTGTTTTACCTTATGTGTTCGTATTTATGGTATGATGTGGGAGTGCTTATGAAGTTCTCAAAAAAAAAGGTGCTCAAGAATTGTAAAACCCAAAATTATTATTATTATATTTTTTACACACTAGCTGTCTCCCACCAAGGCAGGGTGACCCAAAAAAAAAACACTTTCACTATCATTCACACTATTATTATTATTATTATTATTAATATTAATTTACTATTGGTGTGTACTGTATTTAATGTCTCTTGTGTATAGTATGCACTTTGACTGACTGATTACAATTGTAGATAAAACTGTTATGCACTGAGTAATTTTTGTATGCGTATTGAAATTTATTGTTTATTTTTTCAGGGATGTAAAGCCTGGAGACATTGTGACAGTTGGAGAATGCCGTCCGCTATCTAAAACTGTTCGTTTCAATGTCTTGAAAGTAAGTAAGGCCCCTGGCAACAAAAAACTATTCCAGAAGTTCTAAATAAATGTGGAAATAAAGTAGTAGTCTTTCTTTGTATCCTTAGGTATTTGTGTGGTGCAAGGTTTTTCCATCTTTGTATTGCAGCGACAAAAATAACTGCCCATTTTTGCTTGAAGGTGCTGTTGAAATGGCGTATCCAGCCAGAAGAGCTAGAGGTTCAAGGTAGGTTTTTGATGCTTATCAAGGTGCATCCAAAAGTTAAGATGGAAAATGGTAGTAAGGGGTTGTAACAGTCAACTGCCATTCAATTGGATGAAAGTATAGGGAGAGGAGAGTAAAGGATGAAGATGAAAAATAGAGAATGGAGGTCAAGAGAAAAGGAAGGCTTCAGAATTCATTGAGGAGAGAGTAGAGACCAGCAGACCAGTAGTTGGTAATTCTGGTGGGTAGAAAGCTAAATGACTAATCACAATTTTCTTGAATTTAATCTTAATAGTGCCTTGATATCAGTGAAGGAGTCTTTACCCAAGGCATTAGATTATTTTCCCCTGCCCAAGGCACTCATTTTCGAGGGTTGGGCCATATCCTGGTGAAGGGCTCTTCATCCAAAAAATTAGGCCTTTTGTCTCCTTCCTCGGATTTAATTTAAATAACCCCGTCTCCTCTCCATTCATCCTCCTTATTTGGATATATCTCTGCCTTCGTGAATTTCAGCTCTGGGTAGAGGGTGAAGGTATGGTTGTCCATCCCATTCCATTAGAGACCTCGGTGATAGTTCTATTTGCCAAGGGAACTGGATTATCTGAGGATGTATTGGGCCGCCCTGGCGGGAAGCCCACATTTGTTTGGGTGACAAAAGTGTTCCTAAATGCTACCTGTTGGTTCCAGGTGGCAGCAGCCAAAAGGTACAGATCTTGGCCATTCCAGCCGCCTGCTCCTCTTGTTGGCTGAACATGGCTTGGTTGATATAGGAGGTTTCATCCTGGAGTGCTGACGAACCGGCATGAAGTGACCAGTAGTGTTGATCATTACTGGCCACTTAGAGGCTAAGCATGGACATGGAGGGGAATATACATTTTTTTAAAAAATGACTAATCATGGATAGTCACGATGTTTTGCTACTTCTGCGTCCATAACCCATATGGCACCTTTAACTTGACTCTGGCATTCCCACAGACGTTCCTTCACACCAAGTACCCGTACTGACCCTGGCACGCTCATGGACGTTCCTTTAAGCCAAGTACCCGTAACTGACCTTTGCATGCCCATGTACCTTCCTTCAAACCCAGTACCCTCGCCTGACCTTTACATGCCTACGGACGTTCCTTTGAACCTGGGGCCCCTCAAGAGAGGTTCCTTGATGCTGGTAAAGGGCTCTTGATTTGGGAATTGGACCTGTGCTCCAGTTCCCTGAACTAGCCCTAAATACTCCCCCCCCCCCATTCTACATGCGCTGTATAATCCTATGGGTTTAGTGCTCCCATGTGATAATTTAGACCTGGTGGTACCAATTTGGGGCAACTTTTGTATGACCTTTGCTGTACTTTCACATGTGCTCCCCACTTCTCTAAAGATAGCCACCCATACATGACGATATTGACACAGCTTGCTCCTACCCTAAGAAACCCCTCGAGGAAGGTTCTTTGATGCTGGTGAGGGGCTCTTGATCTAGGGAATTGGGTCTGCTCCAGTTCCCTGAATTAAGCCTGACTACCTTCCACGTCCCCCCACAGGCGCTGTATAATCCTACAGGTTTAGCGCTTCCCCTTTATAATAATACCCTAAGAAACACGTACCTGAACACCTCTCTCCAAGCTGTTTTTCGAAGACAGTTTTCAATGAACTGCTTTTCTCCAGCCAACAGCATCTACTGATTGCCTTGCTGACCATGGTATTTATTAGTAAAGCACTCAAGAGGCATGTTGGTTAAAACATATTTCATCCCTTTAACCCTTTCACTGTCCAGACCCGCAAAATTGAAATTGCTGTGTCCACGTTTAAACAAAAATCTTACCAAATAAGAGTATTATTCGTCGGGTGGTATTATTACAAACATTTACCCGTCAGTACTAACCGAGATATGTTAATCTGAAGACCGATGACTCGCTGATGGCAACAATGGCGATCCAGCAGAGGCAAGGAGGCTGGCGCTTATGTACTAATAGTCGGGTGGAAAGGAGATGGGTAGCAGACCGAGGGCTTAGTCACTGGTAGGCGGGATTCCCCAGTGGAAGTAGGTCGTACCCAAAGGGATGGGTAAGTTCTAGTAGTAGTTGCCTCTGCTCCAGAATTTACACGACTACGGTGCTCTTCACACCAACTCCAAGGCTGTGGGACTGATTATCTCATCTTTTGTATATAGCTCTTCTGTCTTCAAATTGTGTCCTAGAATCTGTATTGATAAAGGATACAGATTCAGATACACGATTCGAGTCTGCTCTTAACTCTTTCTCTGGCAAGCCATAGCAGCTCTAACTCTTCTTGTACAGTCTCCCTATGATCTCCGTTGGGGAGGGGAACCTATACCTTCGTCTTCATCCTTGCTTGGGCACCACGATGAGCTATGCAAATCGTGTCAATATCAAACTCAACAGCGGTACTGTGAATGATTCTTCGAAACTTGCTCTTACAGCCGCCGTTTGGGGTGGGCCGCAGGTGAGGTTCAACACTATATTGACACTAAAGGAGGCCTTCATTGTCGTGTGTAACAATAATGCGGAAGCTGAGAAGTTACTACTGACGCCATCATCACTCACTGCTCGAGGCTTTATTGGCATGTCCTCTCCAGCTCTCAGGGCTATGAGATCAGTATTCCTCAAGAAACTAAATAAGCTTCTCACTTCACAACCAGTCGCTGGACTCGAGACATCTATTGAGGATCAAAACTCGTGGGCCACTGTTGAGAGCATCACAAAAATCACAGATTTGTCCATGCTGTCACCTTCACCGATGTGAACATGGCAGCCACCGCTTTGTCAGATGGTCTTTCCATCTATTACTACTACATCAGCCCCACCTACATCGAAGCTGAGAGGTTCTACTACATTCATCACTGCTGGAATTATTACTCATATGTTCACAGCAGCACTGTATAGCCCTTGTGGTTTAGCACTTCTTTTTGATTATAATAATAATCATATGTTCACAACACCAAGGACTGTCCTGTGAAGGAAAAGAAGTTCTGCACAACATGTGGCTGTAAGGGCCACGATTTCAGGTCCCGCACTGCCTCTGCTCCATCGACACAAACTTGCCTGAACTGCAAAAGCAATGACCATCACACTCGTGCTGCTTAATGTCCCACACGTAAAGACATTGTGAAAAAGACTCAAGAGGCGGCTCAGAAAAAGTCCTCTTCCAGATCGCCCATCTACGCTGCTATTGCAAAATTGCAGGTTGACACAACGAAAATCCTCCAGGCTTCTACTCGACCCTCCACCACCAACATTGCACCTGACTATCACCCGACGACAATATACTACTGCATGGTCTATGCACACATGCGCAATGCTGTTGTTCCTGGGACTTTTAACACAGCCATTAATGAACTCTCCAAGTTAAACAGCAGCGCTGTATAGCCCTTGTGGTTTATCGCTTCTTTTTTATTATAATCGAGTTAAACAACATGCCAGAGTTCAACTTCCCAGCTTCTCCACCATCTGCCATTCTCCTCTTCAAGGGGGGCTCCTTGTTGTGGTGAAGAGGCTCTTGGTCTGAGGAATCAGACCTGTCGGTCTCCTTCCTCAGACCGAACCTAATTACCTCCCTATCCCATCCTTCCCTTTTTCCTTTCCTCCTCCTCCCCACCCCTCCCTTTTGCCCTTCCTCTTTTTGGCCTTTGGAATTTCTCCCACAGGCACGCTAGTTCCTAGGTAGGGGAAAGGATACCGGGGTCCATCCCATTCCGTTGAGGTTCTTGGCGGTGGCGTAGTTTGCTGTGGAATCTGGATCGCCTGGGGATGTCCCGATCCCTCTCCGGTATCCTGGAGTAGCTTTGGGTGTCTTTCAGGCGTCGGGTGTATCTCTGGAAGCCACCTTTCGGATTCCTGGGGTGGTGGCCAAAGGAGGTATGCTTTGCGGCGGATATCTGGCCGCCCTCTCTTTTGTCCACCGAGGTAGCTCGGCAGATGTGAGGTTACTATCCCGGATTGCTGGTTTACTGGCATGAAGGGTAGGGTATGGCACGGGTTCCATGCTGCATCTGTGCTACTAGCGGTGCTGAGGTCCTCCTGGGCGTGGAGGGAGATTTCTGGCCCTTTCATTCCTCCTGGGAACTATTCCTCCCCGATCCCCCCTTTTTTTATTCTTTTTTTTTTTTTTATTTTTATTTTCTTTTTTTTTTCTTAAAAACAAAAAGCAAAGGAGTAACCTAACCATGGAGAACCCAATCCATGAACCCACTACCCCCGGGCCCCTTCTTGATACCGCACCCCATTTCTGACCCTGCCTTGTTTTTTAGACCACTCTTCAGACACTCCTGATGCCCCTGTACCTCTTGCTGGTGCTGTTTCCTCACCCGCTACCCCTCAAGGAAGGTTCCTTGATGTTGGTGAGGGGCTCTTGATTTAGGGAATTGGATCTGTGCTCCAGTTCCCCGAATTAAGCCTGAATGCCTTCCACATCCCCCCCCAGGTGCTGTATAATCCTCCGGGTTTAGCGCTTCCCCCTTGATTATAATAATAATAATCCTCACCCGCTTCAGGTACCGGGGCTTCGACTGACTCCTTCGATTTGTCTGACCTCCGCTCTCCTTTGACTATGCTTCCGGCCTCTCCCTCTACGGTACGACAATTTTCGAATCGCCAGCCCATTTCACGCCGGACCAACTCTGGTCTTACTCCTAAACACCAACGTCAATCTCCTGATGATGCTCCTTCGTTACCTTCCCATTCTACTCGGAAAAGACCAACACGTCATGCACTCCCTCTCCACGCTCGGTTTCGGACCATACAATGGATTAATTCTTTACTTTAAGACCGACTTCTTCTTCTGCCTATCTTTCTGACCATAGTATTGGCAAAGCGCTCCTGTGTCATGTTGGTAGAGATATTTCATTTCATGCTCTCAAGAGTGGTAC